GGCTTCTCCTCCAAACCACTATTTGATTATGTTAGTTTAGGTTCTTAGTTTGACGAATTAACTATCTGGGCATAAACTTGCATTGCAAATATAATCTGCATCACCATAAAATAGTGATACTCTAACGTCGTTTGCGAGTAAATATTCTAGATCTTCCAAGAAAGTGGGATAGACAAAATCTCCAGTCTGTTGGAATGCGTAGTAAACTTCATTGTTGGCGTCCTCGCTATAATTTAAGTTCACTCCTAGAGCATTTTGTGTAGAGGCCAAATTGAGGTAATCAAGAAAGTACGTTGGTGGAGTTGGATCATCTGAAAATTTGATTAGCTCAAGTCCATGTCAATAAAATCTTTGAATCGTATGGAGAAGAAATTGAGGAGTGTATCAAAATGAGCAAACAAACCATATGGATGTCTGATGTCATAGGCTCCCCGCCCTCCATATGTATAGAAGACACCTTCCACTGCGTCTCTGCAGAGGTTCTCTGCTTCAGTGCAAATTGCTTGCTCTGCAGCCGTTGTCAAATTTGTTGCTCTGCAAAAACCAATCTGATCTAGGCAGCCATTGCCCATATTCAAAGCAAACTTCGCAAAGTTGTAGACTATTGTAGTCAGTATAGTGAACGAATATTTGGTAGCAGTTCAAGTACCTGTGTCGTTATAAGCCTTGATGCCATATGTGTTATTCACGGCAAATTCGGGATAGCTATCAGTTTACATGATTAGTAGATCTTCGATGCATATACAAACATTGGTGACCTGACTTACAAGGGTGCTTGAATATATTCGTCGATAATTCCATTACCAACACCAAGGGTGTTAAAGTCTAGTTGGATACCAGGAATAGTGCCGTTCGCAATTTCTTGGTTTCTGTCGTAGAAGTACTTGTAAAAAGCTGGACCATAGTGACCCCCGTAACTTTCTGTCCATAGATTGAATTCCTTTTTCATGTTGAGGTTGACAGCTGGGTCGAGTTGGGGCAAGCCGCCAAGAAACCCTTGCCTGTGAAACATTAGGACGATGAAAATTTTACAACCCGTATAGAAGGCTGAAGATAACAGAGATGAGAGATCCCAGAAATTGAAGCATGAGCAGCTAGCTTCAGCGTCTTCAGTAGAGGAAAAAGTGTTTCTTACAGAACGTGCCAAGCGGCCACAGCAGACAAATCTGTCGTGTCGAGGGCTGTCGCATTGATGATAGGATATCTTCCTTGCGCTCCAGCGAATGAAGAATTTTCATAAACACTGGTGACTGTTACTGAAGTTAGTACGTCTTCATGGGCGATGCGCTGAGCTACTTACATGGATTCAAACTTCCTTCGCCTTCAGAGCCATACGAAAAGCCAACACCCAGAGGTTGGGAAAGGAACAGTAAGTTCGAATACTCGCTAAACGAATAAGGGTTCAATTCGGTAGTGAGGTTTGCTGTAACATTACAAGGCCCCAATTCTAGCAAGGTCAGCTAGATTCCAATGAGTGTTCCAGAATGGTACATACCTTGGAAGAGACCGATCATAGAATCGGAACCTGGTCCACCATTAAGCCATAAAGTGACTGGTGCATTTGCGGGATCGTTTCGAGCTTCGAAAAACCAGAAGAAGGTGTGTGAGTTGCTGAGAAAGCTTAGCATCTTGGGACTACAATACTTCAAATGACAGGGTTCAAGAATAACGTACGCATCAAGGTCGATATATCCCGAGTAGGAGTTCACACCAGGTGTTGTTTCACACACGCCTTCTTTCCCAGGCTCCTTGTAACGAATTGTTATGTTTTGAGGTGTAACCAGAGTCTTTACCCCAGTTGCATTTGCTGGGACGCCTCGGCCTACCAGACTAGCTTGCACATTCCTTTGGGTGATTTTGGCACCGTTCACCACTGTGAACAATGCCAATCCTGCCGTTATTGGAGAAATCATTGTTTTCACAAAGGAGTATATTCAACAAGAGTGTCATAGACTTGCTCTTATGTACAGTCTTGGGGGGACAGTACTTATAGGTATGGAAAACACTTTAACATCGCGAATCTTAACGTCCTTCCTGATGTGTTTTAGCTCATTATCGCTATGCAAAACGCCTGCGTCAACTCCACTGAATGAGCAGTATTCAAACCTCGTCACATCTCAAGCAGTTGAATCGAGTTCGGAATACGAGGTATAGTAGCCGCCTCATCATATTGCAGATCGAGTGACGATAATGCTTCAAGGATAAATCTAGAAATCTTGCTGGAACTGCATTGCGTAGGATAGGGTTTGTAGATAAGACAAATGAATACAAACTTTTTTCACCTTTTTTTTGGTAATCGCTACCAAGAACACAGGGAGAATTCGGCTCGGAACCTATTCATTGGGCAATTATGTAGAACAAACTTCTTAGCCTTCGCTCAACCTGGTATAATGTTGCACACGATAAGAAGTGGTGCGGGGTTTGTTGGCTGGGGTATCTAAATGCAATATTCGTGTATTTCTCATATCGGAGAAGCATCTCTGTTGGGAAATGCATCTCATACAGGGATAGAACTGGCGAAAACAACGAAGAGTATATCGTCATATCTTTTAAGGTCAAACCGATACCAAAAACCGATGACAAGTAAACAAAAAGCATGAGGGGTAGGTAGTAATAAGAACTTCTAAATCGACATCCGAGCTTCCTTCTATGGCTTAGTAGTTAAGTCTGACCGCTGATATAGAAAGTATCTAGATTTGAGATTGGCAAATGATGAGATGTGCTGACAATACATGTCTGGGAGGCTGGGTGATACCTAAAAAAAATCAATTTCCTGGTCATATCCAATCACATTTTAACCATTGTTTTCCCGTTATGGCCTTACAAGCCCTTGAGTTCATAAAGTTGTCTATCAAAAGAACTAATGGCTTTTTGCTCTAGCTACATAAGCTGCCAATGGCAGTGATATCTCGAGAATTGATTCCATCTCAAGATGTTCGTCGCTCGTAAAATTCCCAATCCATCCCTCCCAGCATACCCCTTGGCCTGTGATGTGCCCTGCCCCGAGTAAACGAGAGAGCGTCATCTGCCTCTATCCGCAAAACCGATCGACAGGAGAAATGCAAATACAACCGAGAGAAAAAGAACTATCTAAGATGCTGCTGATTGATCGAAGGTCCTCCGGACATTATTGCGATCGATTTACAAATCGTTGTCATCCTCATCTGGAAGTGGCATAGCGGCGGCGTCTTCCATCTCCTTGTGGTAAACCTTCAAGAGCTCCTCGTCGACTTGTGCAGTTGGTGGTGCCAATGCTGGTGCAGCAACGAATTCCTGATACAGATTAGTCACAGTACTTTGAAAATTATGGGAATAGTTGTGTCCGTACCAAAGTTGGGTTACCAACGAGCTTGCGGGCCAACCACAAGAAAGGCTTCTCGAAGTTGTAGTTGGATTTGGCCGAAATATCGTAATATTGGAGGTTCTTCTTTCTGTGGAAGGTTATAGTCTTTGCCTTTACTTTACGTTCCTTGACATCGACCTTGTTTCCGGTAAGAACAATAGGAATGTTTTCGCAAACACGAACCAAGTCACCTATTCGGAAAATTAGTTTTCAAACGATTTCAACACAAGGTTTTGAAGCAACTTACGATGCCAGTTAGGAACGTTCTTGTATGTGATACGGGAAGTAACATCGAACATGATGATACCGCATTGGCCGTTAATGTAATATCCATCACGGAGACCTCCGAACTTTTCTTGTCCAGCAGTATCCCAGACGTCGAATTGAATGTTTCCCAAGTTCTGCAAGCGTTAGTAAACCTTGCCTCGGATCAAGGTGGGGAATTCGCAACGTACGGTAGTAAATCCAAGGGGGTGAACTTCGACACCGAGAGTGGCAATATATTTCTTCTCGAACTCACCAGTCAAATGGCGCTTGACGAAGGTGGTCTGTTTGATGATTAGTCTATGATTCAAGGCGCTACTATGCAGCTATCGTTGGAATGAAGGCGCAAATTTCGCGACAATGATATCCAGCTTGACAACTTGACAACGGCAGGAACAACATGATCATCTGTAAGTTCGACTTGCTTACCTTTCCGGTTCCTCCATCACCAACAAGCACAAGCTTGAAGGTTGGTGTGGTTGTAGCAGCGGGATCCGCCATGATTTCTTAATGTTTTCGTTAGGTAGAAATTGAGGTAAACAGATCTCGCACAGGTCGATACTGTTGATGAAATGATCAGCGCAAATGAAAATTTGTCGATGCGAAAATGAATTTGATGACTAGGAGAGTTGTAGAGGAGGAGGGGGTACCTGTTATCGTTGAAAATTCGTCGTGGACGTGGTGGAGTATGATTTGGTCTCCAAGGATGTGAGAATGTTTTGATTGCTACAAGACCAAAACTTTAGAGAGAAGAAAGCGGTGGGCGAACTTTATGTAAGCGAAAAATGGATTTTTTGGTGGTAGAAGTCACGTTATTATTCTGTCATTCATTGGATTCATTCACCTGTCAACCAAATTTCAAAATCTTGGAACCGTGGAATTAAGTGGAATGAAATTTTTGAATGCTTGAATACAGTTTGTGAATTATCACATTACATTGTTTTGTTTCGAAATTATTATTTGATTTTATCTGATTCGAAGCCTTTAGGCAGTATGGTGTGTACTTACTACAAGCCTACCTGCAGGTAAGTAAATGATATCAAAAGTATTACTTGCACGCACAACTACCTACCAGGTATCAAGATAGTCACAAGTATATATTCTATCACAGTATCTTCCGGAAGCTACTGAGAAGCTACTGGTCAACTGCCCTAGATACCAGGTGTAAGATTATCTCGTCGTTTCTATACCAGGCTATCTAGCTTGACCTTGATACACAGAAAGTGTTGCTGGTAACTACTAACATGTATTGAATTCAACGATGCCCAAATCAACCTTATGTGTTGGCATGGAAAAGATTGGGCCAAACTATTCCACCAGAACCCAAACGCCATGCAAACTCCTACGCTCGAATAGCAGATGCCACAGTGTGTCAAGAGTAGGCAATTTTAATCTACAATGGCAGAATATGACAGCCCAAAAGCCCTCTGCCTCCCCAGTTTCTTCGTGGTGTCAAACTTAATTGTAGCTCTTGGCGTCCCAAATCTCTTGAAACCTTTACCATAACCTCGCGCTATTGTAAAAGTATAAATTAGTAAGATTTTCAACCATCTAGTCATGATGTAGAACATACACCCTCATTTCCTTGTACACATTCTCCCACCCTTTTTAAGCCATCATGATTCGCATGATTGACATAACCAAAATTTCTGATCGTATCACCAGCTTTTAGACCAGCGTCGTCCGCAGGGCTTCCCGCTGCAACACTATTGACCTTTGCGAACGGTACATCCAAAGGTGCTGGCTCATCGAAAGAAGGTACAATTCTACTAGCCTGAACTTCGTCGACGACGGGCTCCTCTGTATTTGGGTTCTCGGCAAGTTTTGCAAAATGTTCGTGAATATGCTTCTCAATGACGCTCATGAGAGCTTTGTGGTCGTTTTTGAGATAAATTATTCGTGATCTAGTAGTTCTAACTTGAGGGAAGAAATTAGCCAAGATCATACATAATTTCATGAAAGTAGAATGCTCACTTTGTGCAACGTCCAAATCTGCTCTAGGGAAACCATCAGGAGTCAAAAGTCTTGTATTCATGTCCACACCATGCTAATATTTATTAGTAGAAGCTCATATGATTTGAAGTATAACCTGCCGAGTCAAGAACACCACTCAGAGCTTTGATTTCAGCTTCTATATTGTCTTTCTTAGCCTGAAGTTGAGCAAGTGTTAGGCCATTGGTTTGCACTCCATTTGTGGCTCCTAGTCCAGATGTAGGACCAGAAGGAATCGTAGGGGCATGTAGATTTTCCATGTTTAAAGGTAATCCCATCTCACGTTGTGCTGCTGCTGGATATTCTTTAAGAAAGTGAGATCATTCATTCAGCCTTGTGGATTATGTTAGACCAGGCTGCGTTGATAGACGCAATGCATTAAGCTTATGTAAAAAAAATGGCGGGGTAAAACAAAGTAGAGCTCCGATGATGACTAATCGCCTGTACCATAATTCTGTATTCACTCCAGTTGACCAACTTCAGTTCCTGATGAGCGTCTTCATGAAGCTGTTGAATCACAAGTGTGATTTGGTTTTGTAAGTTTACTTAGACAGAACAGTGTGAAGATTAATATATCAGACCTTTTCTTCCTTCCAAATGTGTTATATGATGATAAAATGCACTATGGATACCAAGTTGGCGATTTGCTAGTTGAAGTTTTCTTGTAATGAAGGGGGAATGAGAAGTTTGCAATGCCAGAGTCAAGTCACAGTACATTGGGAATGGAAAATATAACCATCATGACAGTCTGGAGACATATCATACCTCTGCAGGTCTCTCTTCCCCATCATCCTTGCCCGTTCATTCAGCCATTGTATATGGGTGTTCAGCGCATCTCTAGGCCAAGAAGCCAAAAGAATAGCAATTTATCTTCATATTATTGTGGAACTTGTACACCACCGAGAATTGGTGCTTCCCTCTAGCATGATGGTAAATGCCAGTTTGAGAATCAAAGCAGTTATGAATTAGCAGCATCAGCTCGATGCCATGGAATACTATCTCAACATCCACGTAGTGATATCGGCGGGGTTAAAATTATTAGTATTCACGTAAACTTTGTGTCTTTGCAAGAGGCGCATGTTCCTTTCCTCAAAAGTACCCTCTTTACTCCCTGAATATATCTTCAGCTTTGTAGGGGATATGGAAAAGCTTATAGGCTTGTCTGATGAATGTACTAGTGGCTGGCGTACGATTGTTGCATCGAAAGTTCTATAGAAAGAATGAGGAATTGGAAGGTGATTATAGAAAAATCGCGATAAAACTCCACGAAAAGATAGCTCTGTCGATTTCAAATCCTATTTGCTGTGTGTAAAACGTATTTGCAAGAGTCCATGCTTGGTTCTAGGGAGCAGTGCGAGGCTTAACTTCTGCATATATAACCCTTGTCACGTTGGTATATGTGAATGAAAACGTTGCGACAACCCCCTGTGTAGACCGCATTGCGAAGCTTCACCGCAGATACATACCCGGCGTTGTTATTTGCGACCCATAGAAAGAAATAGGGTTAAACAGTTGATGTATACGTTGAGTCGTATGACCTAAGTGCCGTTTCATTCTTTAAGTTTAAGTAGATGCAAGGTAACGCGCATTGGGCGTCTTATTATCTATAGGGCCACCAATACCATTAAGTGGCTACGAGCTAGCGAGTGAATCACTGTGATGGCCGATGACTGTCAGCATCGATGGCAAAATGTCACTGGGGCTGCGTTTCGAGAAACTCGTTGACGGTCTAAAAATATAGTTTGCGGATCAATCTAGCAGCGGTAGTCGAGAACTGCAACATTTTTGAATTTGCCGAATTCAACTGTTTCTCGGGGGGCTTTGGGTGTGGTTGACGACCTTTGTCAACTCCTCCAAAGTCTTCTACCTCTTTTGGTCAGTAAATCAAGACTTGAAAGGAAGTGTCTGGGGTTCGGCAGGCGTCAACCCAGAAGATCAGGTGAATGGCTTTTATTCAGTTAGTCTAAGCTAGAAGACGATTTTGTACGATCGTAAATGAGTCTGCGCATTCAAAAAGTAAGATCGAGAGAGCAAAAAGGAGCCAGCTTAATCATTTCAGAGAAGCTATTCAGTGCTGGTAAGTGAGGAGAAGTAATGCCCGAATGTATTTATACTGTCAAGGTTCTTACTCCACTTTTCAAATACCCAACATCATTACTTGAAGAGAGTAATTGACAACTTACAAGTAATCTTTGTGGCAGTTTTAGGCATATCTCTTGTTTGAGTTGTGATTTTGACCATACAAAACCTCATGATAAAGTGATACATAAGAATCTATGTGGAACTATGACAACTTCCCTAACTAGTGCTTGTTAATTTTGCGACAAAACTGAACATGAAAATTTAGTAGCAGACAATTGTTTTTGTTTATACTTTGTTTTTAAATTTTGTTTCGTGTTGTATCACTCGGACGATGAGTTGTTGTGGTCAAGTTTTTTTTTTTGGAAGACTCAACTTACATTTGAACTTACCCCTTCGCGTATACTTACACCAGAACAAACACACCTCGAACCTTCCCAACTTGACTTATGCCCAAAGAGTTGCTCTTTCTGTTCATTTCATTGTGATATCAGAATTGATTTCTTCAGTTGATCTTCTTTTCTTTCACAACTTTACATTGGCAGACCCTTCTTGGTCCATTGGAACGATTTTGTATCTACATTTTTGCTCCACTTGCTCCCTTTGCTTTTGCTCCTTTTTGATTCAATTTTGATTCGATTTTACTCCTCTCTTTTAAGGAATATTATGGAAAGTTGTATCCAGGGGGATAAAGCTCTTGACTCATCAACCAAACCCGTTCCCGTTCTCAAAAAAGTTGATACCTTGGTCAAGAAAATCACACCTCTTCGCGAATTTACAAATATTGGGACATCAAAGCATATTAAAGATAAATTTGGTGAGGAAGTTCCAACTCTTGGACAGAAGTGGTGGTCAAATAGTACAGCTGATCCTCCCGCCAAAGGCGTTCACGAAGCAAGGCATTGTCCAGAAAATTGCATCACCTTTGACACCAGATATACCATCAACTACTACAACGAAGAAGGTGTACCAATTGAAAGTCCTATCGAGGATCCTATCGAAGAACCTATCCGAGTAAAGAAGTTAATGTGGAACAGAGAAAGGACCTCTGAGCCCGCTGATACTGTTCATCTCGCCGACGATCTTATCAAAATGGAACCAGATACCTTAAGTCACCCAGGACAATCCGACACTAACGATCAATTTGATGACAATTCTAATCTTGGTCCCCCACCTATCATAAATCAATTCGTAGACGAGTCTACTACAATGCAAGTCATCAACCACCAAGAGAAGCTAGCAACCAGTGGCAGCTTTGACATCAGTTCCGAAATCAGTCACTCAGCCGTCGAAAATGAACGTGCGGGAGGATCCTTCACTGCCATGCCGGTCTCTGGCGACCGGGAGAAATCTGCCATAGATAACAGTTTCGGAAACAAAATCTCTAACACGATGCGAAATTTGGCTGCCAAAGGACTACAGGTGGTCAATGATTTAGATGAGAAAGCTGCTGCTCGCGCTCAATTTTTCGATGACACAGACGATCAATATACAAATGATCACATTGCGGCGATGACTGCGACCAGGCGCCATGACAAGTCTTCAACGAGTAGCAGTCTGGGAAGCAGAGTCTCTAGCACCATGCGTAACCTGGCTGAAGTTGGATTACAAGTTATTCATGATCTAGATGAGAAAGCCGCTCGTCACGCTAGGTTCTCCTTGGATAGTCCAATTCCAATGGAACCAGAGCCAGTAGTTGCAAATCAAACAAATCCCTTCGAAAAGTTTCTACACACCATCAAGCGACGGGGTGCACATAGAAAGACAACCAGCTGCGACATGCCTAGAAATCGTATTGAAGGAGGCTTGTTTGATTCACCCATCGCTTTGCAGAGACCTGGCCACAGAAAGTCCTTATCGGGCAGCTCCTATGGGTTTGTGAATAACATGAAGAGTGTTGGAACCAGTCTTGCAAGTTTCAGTATTGCACCACGTTCCAGAACAGGCATGTCCTCTCGTCATCAACGCACTGACTACAGCAGTAGAGCATCCTATGCTGTAAGTAATCTTCTTCCCGCCATCAACTCATAGCAGCACACGACTAATATCATTCAATAGGGAAGAGCTTCTGAAGATAACGGAAATTGCTTATCACGGGCATTTATCCTCGATAAGGAGGTAATGAAGCGCATGGAACAACGTCAAGGCGTCATTGAGGAGATTCTATCCACCGAAAAAGTTTACCTCGATGATGTTCAAGCTCTCATACGTGTATGCTGCAATAGATCCATGCCACTTCACTCGTTTACTGATCCTTATCTAGGTTTTTGACGGTCTCCTAATCGCCATCCCTATTCTCTCGCAGAGCTTACGCAAGTCCATTGTCATTACTCTCAAGGACATCTGGAACCACAATAATCAGCTCTATAATGAACTCGTCACAGTTGTGGCCAATACAAATAAGTCTTCTGGGGTAGGAGTGGTTAATCCACCAAATCACCCGCCAGTGAAGGGACACAAGAGATGGCAAAGTCTAGGGGAAGCACCTGCTTCGAATTCTACTGAAAGCCGTGGTCGACACATTGGTGATCCGAAGGTTGCGGGAGAGATTGCAAAGGTCTTTTGCGGAAAGGTTCGAAGATCATACTTTTCTTCATGGCACAAATACTAACACGTTATAAGCAGATCCGGGGATTGTTCTTGTATGAATCGTACGGAATCATGCATAGTGAGGTTATGAAGCAAATCCATACATCATATAGAACCACGGATGAATGGAAAGATTTCAATCAAGCAATCAGATCAACTGAGGAAATGATCATCTCTACTGATAATCGAGAGAATGGCTCCCGCAAAGGAAGACATTTTGATGATTACTTCATTAAGGTAAGGGAAAATATTTCTTTTGAATTTGCGAAAGCTGACAGTGTTTAAAGCCTATCCATCGTATTGCTAGATATGAAGTTTTGTTTGGTCGTCTCTTAGAACAAAGCCCAGTTTGTGATTGCCCGGAATCCTCAACCATGGTTGAGACTGCGCTTTTTCGACTCAAGGAAGTTCACAAGACAATGAACTCTGCTGCAGGTAATCATCAAAAGGCAACTGCTATGTCAAGAACATGGCTGTTACAGGATCGTCTACTTTTCACAAGCCAGGCAAGTCTTCGGATCTCAATTGACTGCCTTCTCCTACTAACATTACCCAGCCGGAAAGTAGATCTCGTGATAAGGTCCGCATGCTTGAGCAGAACCATTTGTGTGGTGTGCTTCATGCTTGTTGGCAGACACAAGACACTGTTGCAGGTCGTAACATCACCGGACAGTACCTTATAGCTCTCATGTATGAGAAATTCTTCGTTCTTGCTCAGCCTTCCGGAACACAAGATGAGATCTATGCCATTCAAGCCTGTATTCCGATCAGTGAGCTCACTGTGGAAGATGTTGATAACGGTAAAGGTATCACCAGTTTTTCTTACTTGGTCCCCTAAGCTCCATGGCTCTGTACATAGGTTTTAACATGAAATAGGCTTACAGTGTCACACGGCGCCCCATTCCTGGAAGATCGTATTTGAGCACATCTCTCAACTCTTTGAAATTATAGTGAGCGCATGCTCAGCAAAGGAAGAGTTGGAGTGGAAGAGCCGTTTGATCGATCGTTCTGGCAAACAGTACAATAGCACTGTTCAGCAAGAAATGACTGCATCATTATCACTTGATATCAAGCCGATGGGAACGGTCTATGGAAAGCCGGGTATGTCTCAAATATTTCTAATATGCTTCTGTTCTTTCGGTTAATCGATTCTTCAACAGGTACGGTTGCTCGACGCAACTCTATCCACAGAGCAACAACAATGAAAGGTCAAACTACCATTACTCGTAGCGTAATAGTTAGGAACACTAGTGCCACAGTCGAGCCTTCTCTTTCAAGCTCCGCTTCTCAGCTTTCGATCAACAGATCTCAATCCCTAGCCGGTCCTCATCGCCCTACAATCCTTGCTCCTTCCCGCACAGAGCGTGTCCGTCTCGAAACCCTTCTCGCCGACGTCTGGACCCGCGATATCATCCCTTACCCTGGCATGGGCTCCCGACCGCACAGAGAACACACAGTCAGAGCATCTGCAAGCTCCATGATGCGCAAGATTAGTCACGCAAGCATCTCCAGCATCACAAAGCGCTCGGGTAGTATTGCCAGTCTTCACAAGAGCGCAGAAGATCACACGGCCACCGAACTGGATAGTCTCAGACCGATGGTTCTCAATCGTCAAGCTCGTCACAACTCCAGCGATAGTATGCCGTTGCCCGAAGACGAACACTCCATGTGCCAGGATGTAAGCGGTGGAAGACAGGGTTCGCGACTTGCTGTGATTATTGATGAGAAGGAGGGTAGTACTGGTACGGGAGCTGCTCGTTCTACAACTGCCAGTCCAATCATGGCGCGTCTTGCAAGTTTTAGAAGCAAGAAGAGCTCGGGCTCGTTGGATGATTCGTTGAATTCTAAGCGCTCTTCCGCTTCCAAGTCTCCGTCGGGAAAGAGCTCGTTGGCTTTGCCAATTGTTACGGCTGCTCATGGAGAGGAGGTCAGAAAGGAGAATGTATTGCATTCATCGATGACGGTTGATGGTAGTAGTGGTGGAGAGGAAGTAGCTGGAGATTTATTGCAGGCGCAGCAGCGAAAGGGTAGAAATAGGGCCATGCTAATGGAGGGATTTAAGAATCTTTTCCGTTAGAGTAATAAGGGTTAGCACAATGACTTGTATTAAGTAATTCATAGGTAGCGTTTGTTTATAGAGAATTTTAAGGATTATTTGATATTCGTCAGCTTTGATGATGTGATTGTGGAGAAAATTTATGCGCGTTGAATAGTCTGGATTATGATTCTTGGGTCGGGTAATGATTTGTTTGTTGCTCGACTTCAGTACTTACACAGTGCTATGAGTTTAGAACAAGACCCGGAAAGATCTCCAGATATCGTGTTCCATTCTGGATTTTAGGTGGTGCATTTATATTCTCTTTATATGTGAGATCATAGGATATCGTGATCTTCCAAATCATAAATATTGAGGTAATACAAACTAGAAAGGTTGAGATGGTAGAACATAAAGTCGATTTCCGTTTAGTACTATGAGATCAAACTTCACGAATATACATATATTGGCCCATATACCTACTCGGACATATTTATTAAAATAACTCTAGCTAATAAGAGTTTGGGCTGGCCTGCATAACTTTCAGATTCAAAATGAGGGATTGAAGTGATCTCTCCTTAGGGCATTGGACCTATCGAATAAATCAAATTGTCCACACTCATTCATTAAGAGACTATCCACTGAAGTTACAAGATGGGTATGCGTAATTTTGCACAAGAATATAGATGAACTTTAACTGTATGCAATTCACTTTCATTTTACTTCACACGCAATCCTCACGAGATCGCTGATCCAAGCGAGATCACATTCGAAAACACCCGTCTATTGACTCAGAAATATTGAAAGTTTCCAAAATATGCCGGCAAATTCTGGCGTCCAGTGACCTGCCACAGTCTCACACCGGGGTCATCAGAGAACCTAGTGGATGGAAGTAGCCGCCCATCAGCCTAGGTATATTATCATAGCCTCTTAATTTAACTTCATCTACCATATACAATGTATAGAGGCAACGGTATTGACGAACGGGAGTACTGCAAGATGACTTGTGTGGATGCCGGCCGGGAGATATTGGTCCGCTTCATTGCTTGCCAGAGCTTTCGTCCTTTCTGATCTTGCTTGCAACCCGTAGAATCCTTCGCTCTTTCAACGTCAATGGCACTTCTGCCCTTGCATCTCAATGCACATAATCAATACCATAATTTACCAATATCCAATTTTCTAGCTCATCAGCCCTTGAATGACTACGCGCTACTTGGCCGAGCCCTGGAGAAAACGAGTATCATCGGAGATATTGGCAATGACGAGACAAGGTAACTTTTGCAAAGAGATAGTGACTGAAAAGAGTGCCAAAAAGATTAGACACTTACTCGATGCCGAGGCGGAGGAACGTTTATATAATTCTAATTGTAAAAGACGATGGAAACAAAACTCAGGAAATTTTGCATGTTCCATACCTCTGAAGCGTTGATCTTGTTTGTCAAGTTTCTATTGCTCGAGAGAAACCAAAACTTCGGGCTTCCCAAGTTGAATCTATACGTAGGACATCAATACGTGCCTCGTCCAGTAACAATCGCCAAGATCTTTCCCACAAGATCAGATGTATTTCGAAACGCCCGCAATCATGGTCGGCGTAGATGACTAGGCTTTCCAAGGTGTCGACATGGCATTTTTTTATGGTCTGGTAAGAGGGATGGCAGGACTGGATAGTATATAAGGCTGGGCAAAAGTGATGGAAGTGATAGCTTTCGATATGATGTACAATGTGTCTGTCTACACTGCCATGCGAATCCGATTTGTGAATGACCTGGGGAAGGTTACCAACGTTTGAAATACTGGCTTATGCAGTCTTATCTTTTGACGATGATGAATGAGAAAACCTCGATTCCAGTAACTGCTCACTGCCAATTGCCGAATAGTAAGCAATCTCGAGGTAGTCTGTAGCGTAGTAAGAGTAAAGATAAATTTCAAGCCCTTTATTTCATATCTCTCCGTATAGATCAATTATTGCACTATCGATTATTGAAAATGACATCCTTGCTATAAAAACACTTGATCGATCACTCTCGCGAAATCTCAATCATAAATTTAAAATTTGATTTATAGATAGATCTATAGGTGAATGAAAAGGGCTCGAAACTCGTAAATTCAGATTACTAATGTCTGATCTATAAACGTTCATATAACGAATTTGATGTACTACAACAATTATGTTCTATAGATCTATAGTGATGCTGACTTGACAATGTAGCTGATTGAAACACGGCATCATATGCCGCTAACAGCATTTCGTAAAACACAATATCTTTGAAACCTGAGAGTTTCAAACCCAGTTCAGACAAGAACTATAAATTATACCAAGGAAGATTTTCGTCATGATTGTGACCTGTGGTGGCTTGTCTATGATGATTATTCAGAAAAAGTCACTTGAGTTGAAGCTTACGCAGTGCTAGGGCTGTGTAGAGCTCTTTGCATCGTACAGCATAGCATATACGAGGACATCAGAATAAGTATCTCTACCCATCAAGTCCGAATCAAAGTTCTGAGGTGTGTGTTTGTATGACAACGCTGACCGAATCGCTGGCCAAATCACCGACCAAGAATGTGATGTGATGATCATCTCGACCAACACCTGTCAAGAGACCCAACAACCCAAATTCAAGCACGGGAGAAGCGCGCGCATGAGAGCAGCCGCCAACATAGTAATGGCGGCGTCCTTGCAGTAATGCATATATGACATTGCGAGATGAGGCATTTACATGGTTGGTTTCCATTGGCAGCTTCGTTTGATATTATAACTTAGCTTTTTTAACTTTACCGAACATTCCGGCTGGAACTTCTATCTAACCCCACTCAATTCAAACAGCAACATCCTCGTCGTCAAACTCAAAACAGAGCGGCCATACGATCGATACGATTCCTAATTCACAACATCAATACGATCAATACGACGGATACGATACGATTGTGTGTACAAGATTTTGTCCGCACAAATACCACATCTGCAATTAAACTGGGGAACCCTCAATAAGGATTTTCGACAGAACAGGGTTAGTTTATCATTCCAGGTCTCATTTTCCCCTTGAGACTTGGCTTTGACCTAATCGAGCTCAGCTTGCTTTTGTTTGGAATTGCGACTGCGCCTTGTGGATGGAGGATTCGCATAAATATGCTTACTCCGCATATCTCATACTCCTTCCAACCTTCGTATGTACCTAATTGATGAGTGAGCTGGTATGGTATTCTTTATTTCATCCTCTCTGCCTCTTCAAAGGCCAAAGGAGATTTTGCCAACCGAAGCGCCGAGCTCTCTTGATAAACAGAGTTTAGACTATCATATTAAAGCGGACTCGTCGAACTAATCCGAATAGCGGCACTAGAGCGGGAGAAGCCGATTATCCGCACAGTAAGGCAAAACAAATAGTGGCTGACTTTACTTATTTTCTCTTCGATCTAATTAATAAGTGTGTCTTCCTGTTCGAAGCTCTCACCACTTCGCATTTCGTATCTCGCATTCCATAAGGACCTACTTACCGAGTACACAAAGACAGAAGAGGAGGTCTGTCTTACCTTATTGTACCTTTTCCCCTCCATTCCCCCTGCATACAAGACAACCGAAAAGTAGCCGGAAGAATCATTATCATCATTGCCGTCATCAAGAACTGAATTAGCAACACTCGAGTACCTCCAGCATCCAACACACTGTCCTCCGTATACAATTTGAAATTCACCGCAGTTTCTTACATCTTCTTTCCCCACATAATCAGCACTTTCTTAGTTCTATTCTCATACAAGGCTGTGAAAGGTACATACATTAGTGGACCGGTACAGCTGTACATTTACCACGTCTAATACATACATGCGTCTAATGTAATCAATACCAGCGAGAATTTTGCTACATGGTCTCGCAAGGTTAAGGCTGAGGTCTCACCAGAGCGAATTTAGCTAAATAATACAAGAGCTAATGATTTCTTTTATATTACCGGTACCCTAACTACCACGCTCCTTGACTAGCAACTACCTTGTACCTATCTCGTCTCAAAGGATTTCTTCACACAATTTACTTTTTGTTCTCAAACTCTCTGAACGAATCAAACCGAAAGCTACCAATTAGTCGGAAATTTGCGTACATTAGCCGTCTTTGACTCCCTGTAGATCTCCTGTACTAACGTTTAGACCGAAAAAAGCGTGGACCTGCGTCATACGAACATATAAACTGGCCGAGCCTCGTTCTTTAGCTTTGCCGTTCCCGTTTGAGCCCTTTGATTCAAAACATCATCTTTTCCAACAAGTACGGGAAAGAGGGAGTGAACGAGAGGCGAGAGAGAGAAAGTTTTACTTTTATTTTATTTTATTTTAACTATATTATATCTTCTCTTGAATTTCTTTCTCATCTTTGCTTTCTCTTAAATTTTCTACCTACCAACCAACTTCCAGGTAACACAAGACAGTCACGTCAATATGAAAGCCTTCGGAACTATAGTAGCTTCGGTTGCATTGTCTTCAGTATGTGATGGTAATTATCACCTCAAGAAACTTTTAGTATCAAGCTTGTTAACTCATTTATAGCTCGTCAATTGGTTTTACCTCGAGATGCGTCTCCCGAAATTATCGCTGCTGAAGTGTTAGCTGCACCGATGTATGCTATCAAGCGTGCATTACCAGATTCACCAACAGGAAGCTACACACCAGGGGCAGTAGATTGTCCTGGTACGAGACCAACAGTCAGAAAAGCCAGTGAATTATCTGCCAATGAAACATCATGGCTAGAATTACGAAGAAATAATACCATTCAACCCATGATAACTTTCCTCAAAAGGATGAACATTTCTGGATTCGATGCAACCGCCTATATAAACAAGGTCTCCGGTAATGCATCTACGTTACCGAATATTGGTATAGCAATTTCTGGGGGAGGCTACCGTGCAATGATGAATGGTGCTGGATTCGTCGCTGCTGCCGATGATCGAACAGCCAATTCAACAAACACGGGACAAATCGGAGGTCTTTTACAAGCTACAACCTACCTTGCAGGTCTTTCTGGTGGTGGATGGTTGGTAGGATCACTCTATACCAACAACTTCAGTACTGTCGAATCTCTACGAGATAGTTCTCGTGTGTGGAACTTCCAAAACTCGATTTTCGAAGGACCTAACGATGATGGTATTCAGATCTTGAGTACTGCTGATTACTACAGTACAATTGAGAAAGAAGTTTCTGGAAAAGCAGATGCTCCTCTCAATTTCAATACTTCGGTCACCGATTATTGGGGACGCGCATTATCGTACCAATTGATTAATGCTACAGACGGTGGACCAGCTTATACCTTTTCATCAATTGCACTCCAGGACAACTTCGCAAATGGCGATATTCCTATGCCTCTTCTCGTCGCTGACGGTCGTTCGCCAAACACCGAGATCATATCACTAAATTCGACAGTCTACGAATTCAATCCGTTTGAGCTTGGTTCATGGGATGCTACGACATATGGGTTCGCACCCCTTCGTTACATTGGATCAAATTTCACCGCTGGTTCCATCCCTGACGGTCAACAATGTGTTCGTGGTTTTGATCAAGTCGGCTACGTGATGGGTACTTCGTCCTCGCTTTTCAACCAATTTTTGATTCAAGCCAATCAAAGTTCGCTTCCATCTTTTGTCACCGACGCGTTCACTACCATTCTCGACAAGATCGGATTCACCAACAATGATATTGCGCAATATCAGCCTAACCCCTTCTACGCATTTAACAATGAAACCAATCGCAATGCCGAAACCACTCAATTGGATTTGGTTGATGGTGGTGAGGATGGTCAAAACATCCCTCTTTATCCTCTCATCCAGCCTATCCGTGAGGTAGATGTAATCTTCGCAATCGACTCATCCGCCGACACCACCTACTTCTGGCCCAACGGAACATCCCTCGTTGCAACCCACGAGCGTTCCCAAAATGAAACCATTGCAAACGGAACCGCATTCCCCTCGATCCCGGGCCAAAACACATTCGTCAACCTCGGACTCAACAAACGCCCCACTTTCTTCGGTTGCGACCCCTCCAATTCCACAGGCCCAACCCCCTTAGTCGTCTACATCCCCAACGCTCCCTACATCTACCAATCCAACGTCTCGACTTTCGACCCCTCCTACAACGCCACCGAACGCAACCTCATCATCGAAAACGGCTACAATGTCGCTACCATGGGTAACTCCACCATCGATCCCGAGTGGCCAACCTGCGTTGCCTGCGCGGTCATCTCCCGCTCGCTGTACAAGACCAAAACTACCGTCCCCGATGCATGCACCGCCTGTTTCAACAGATACTGTTGGAATGGCACGTTGGATACGAGCGATGTGGTCTACGATCCTGCCTACATCGTCGGAAAAGTTTCCGCTTCTTCCGATGCGGCAACCTTGGGAGGAAACAAATTCACAAGTATCATTGTCGCGCTTGCTGCAGCTGCATTTGTTGTCTGGGCATAGTATAATATGATATGAGGAAATATACTATACGTATAAGGAGCAAAAAGTTATCGCGAAAATAAGGACAATGTTTCGGGTTTTGGGATGGGTTTTTTGGATGGTTGTATATATCACGACATTATAATGAGGGATGATGGAGGTCCGATTTTATTTTCGCATTTGCCTTGCATTAAGGGAGGAATGAACGTCGTTGGTTGGTTGGCTGGTTTTTATTTTTGAAATATTAATTACGGGTGAGGAGATGATGAGTGGATTATACTGTTTTGTACTATTTGTACTATTTATACCTAACTTTTTTTTGGATGTAACAAAATCGAATTACAATGTACGTGTATGAGTTTAAGAAGTATATTCTCCTGTGATGGAAATTATAGATCTTGCAAGGTCAACCGGGTGTATGAGTTTTGCTTACGTACTGTATATCTGTGATGAGAGATGAGAGTCGGTTCGGGAATTGATGGGGTTGATATTTTATGAAGTCATACACTCATACACTCATACACTCATATACAAACATACAAACATACAAACATACAAACATACAAACAAAAACAGAATAAAAAACCAAAAAGAACATCCAATCCTAAATGGAACACTCGTACCTATACATATTTATCCACAGTCATATACATCTACATCCCACCCCCATCCCATATCCTACTTCCTCCTTTCTCATTCCCCCTCGATATACATATCTCAGAATACCATATTTCCCCCCTTTCCACTTTCTCCCTTTTGCTATAGGATTTAATTTATTTCATACCTCCTGAGTAGAAGCAAAGTCTCTCTCTTCTCTTTCTTCCCTTCAAATCTCTTTCTCTCCAAGTCTTTCCACTCATATCACTCCTCACACCCCTACTTCCCCACCCAACAATCCGCCAATCTAAAAATCAGAGACACAGGAGCAATCCATTTCATTTCCATCCATTCATACCCAAGGGAATCAAATATTAAAGCCATTCGACATAAATAGGTGGAGAGTAAAGATCACAGAGATTGAACTATTAAACTATCATATTATTATAAAAGAGGAGAAAAGAAAGAGAGAGGAGAAAGGGAGAGGAGAAAAGAGTAGAAGGGGGGTAAAAAGTTAATTAGGTATTGAATAAGGGAGATAGAGAAAGGTAGGGGAAGTGGTAAATGGAATGGAAGAGAAGAGAAGAGAAAAGAAGAGAAAGGGGAGAGATCTGAAATTCCAGAAGCGAGATCAGATAAAATACTCGTAAAACAGAACTAGATAAAGTAAAATCCAAATCCAAATCCAAATCAAACCACAAACCACAATTCAATGTCCCCCAACCACTCACTCCCCCTCTCCCTCACTCCCCCTCCCCATCTCCCCATCTCCCCATCTCCATCTCCATCCCCCCAGCTCCTACTCCCCAGCAATCTTTCCATTCAAACTCAATCTATGATTCATAATCCATAATCCATAACCCCCCCCAACAAATCATTCAATTCCAACTCCAACTCAAATTCCAATCCAACAAAGCTATACACATATAGAAAAACCAATCAACCAACCTCCAGAACACAACATCCATCGATGAATATTGGTATCGTATTGGTTTAGATTCTAGATGTTGATAAAAAGTTCTGATGTTGATGGTTCTCGCTAAACATGAGGTGGGTGGTCATGGTTCTGTTGTAATTCAACAGTCAAAAGTCAATAGTCAATTGGCCAGCAGAGCTTCAGAGCTTCCAACTTCAATTTCAAGCGTACTTACTACATTAGTACACAATGCATACCATACATACCGAATGGCCAAGTAGTAGTTAGATAGGTATGATTAGAAAATGGATATCTTTCAGCACTTTGTTTATTTTCTCGTCCACACAGACATGCACACACAAACAACGAAAAGCACCTCAGTTTTAGCAAGAATCTGACGCAAGCTCCAATAGGGAGAATGAAACTCAAAGCTACTCACCGATAGTCGTCAGAAGTAGAGTTTCAAATCACCAAATTCACAGCATCATCCCCACCATTTCAATGTGCATCATGATTCTCATTTATTCTCATCTCCATACATACATCGAACCTTTTACATCCATTTGACTTCCTCTCTTCAAATAACCCCCTTACCCCTCACACCATACATATCCATCATCATAATCACTAGCATTCAATATCCCCCGCCCTTCCATCAAACCAACCACCAAATTCTCATCAATGCACAAGGCTCCACCACCAAAAAAATAATAGTAATAGTAGCAAACACTGCCAGTTCACACAGGAACGAGTGTTATGAAAGTAAATTGATTTGAGCCCTCTGAGAAATTTCCCGGATGGGTGAAATAAAACAAGGCAATTCCATGCACCAAACAAAGATACTTCGCCCAAATTTATTTGACGAAACGTGGTTTATTCCCTTTCCCCAAAAACGCCCTTCGCCATTCTGAAAATAGGTTTGGATGAGATAATCGAAAAGAACAACAAGTACTCGCAGTTGGTGGTATCTACGAAAAAGAAAATGGAAATAATGGCAGAGCTTTTCTGTGCCCATCAATCCATGCATATATCATCGAACTTCGACCAAGATGAATCTCACACTAGCTGCTATGCGCACGCATTAGAAGCTACAGAACTGCTTAGTACAGGCTCTGTGGAATTTAGAATGTGAATCAGCAAGTGCTTACCCTCGCAAGTGGATCCTCAGCATCTGCCGTTACAAGTGAAGGACTCTCCACACTTCCATGATTTATAGGGCCAGTAGTCGTGTATGCACGAGGCTCGATAGCCGGTCTCATATGGGCTGGTGTGGGACTCGATGCAGGATGCTGTGTACCGCGAGTACCATTTTGCGAGTTGGGGCTCTCTTCATTAGCGGATTGCCTAACCTCCCTACCCTTCTCAAGCAATGCACCTCCAAGAGTTGCACATTTCAGGATCGTCTGAATAAGATGATTTTGTTTCAAAGGCTTAGAAAGATATTCATCCATTTGGGCTTGAATACATTTTTCGCGATCACCCAACATAGCGTGTGCTGTAAGTGCGATAATAGGCGTTCTTTGCGTTCCAAGACTTCGCTCGTACTCTCTAATCTTAGCGGTTGCTTCGAATCCTCCCTGCAATGGTGTTAGTCACTTTCTCCCGTGTTATAATGTGATTGCACATTGCACTTACCATGATTGGCATTTGAACGTCCATGAGAATCACATCGTATCGTTTCTCCTTGATAGCATCTAGTGCTTCTTGACCATTGCCAACGACAGTAACAACGTGATGATACTTTTCTAAAATCTTCACTGCTAAGCGTTGATTGACGATGTTGTCTTCGGCCAAGAGAATATCGAAAGATTTTGTGTTGTCCGCCAATGAGGGTGCAGCTCGGTTCTCCAAGGCAGGAATCATACCGTTGCCAAGATCGATCGTTAAACATGGAGTGGTCATGTAAGAAGTGATACCAAGATCCAAAGCAGACTTCAAGCTGACATGAACGACAGGAGCCAAGAGAACAATTGGAATATACTTAAACTCATCGATTGATCGCAGTTTTCGAGCGGACTCAATCGAGTCTACAACAATCACATCATAAGTTGAAGCAATCTTCTCCTTGGTTCTTCCATTGCCGAGAAGAATGGTATGCTGCTCAGAGTCGACAACGACGGGTACCAAACCAAGTTGTGTAAGCATAGTGATTATTTCTTTGCCATGACCAGTCTGTCCTTTGTCGATAAACAGAACGTTGTGACCTTGATATGGCTTGAGTTGTTTCTGAATGAAGCTGATATCCGAGGTTGCGAGGCGGACGGTACATGTGAAGTAGAATGAACTGCCCTTTCCGTACTGACTCTTGACCCAAACATCTCCACGCATGAGGTTTACAAGTCTCTTCGAAATTGATAGACCTAGACCAGTACCTCCGAACTTTCTCGTCATGGATCCGTCTGCTTGTTGGAAAGTGTCGAAAATCAAATTGAGTTTATCAGCTTGGATGCCGATACCAGTATCAGAAACGCAGAACTCGACTGCATATTCATTTGGCGCACAATGATCTTGCTCGGCTTTTTGAATCGTCAAAGAGACTTCACCGTGCTCTGTGAACTTGATAGCGTTTCCAACCAAGTTGAGAATAATTTGTCGAAGACGGAACGAATCACCAACCACGTGATCTGGAACTGAGCTATCCACGCGGTAAGTGAGATCTAAGAATTTCTCATTTGCCTTGACAGCAAGAGTCTTGAGTGCGTTGAAGACGGTTCCTCTAAGAGTGTATGGAATCTCCTCCATGATCATACGGTTTGCTTCAATCTTTGACAAATCGAGAATATCATCAATGATGGTCAATAAACTATTGGCCAAGTTGTGAACAATGTTGAGCATTTCTCGTTGATATTGAGTAAGATCGGTGTCGAGTGTCAACTGGGTCATACCAATGATACCGTTCATCTATCACCAATGTCAGCGAAAAAGTAAATACATTAGGTTAAGGGAAATGAAAGATTGGTAAAAGGGATCAGTGATGAACAAAAGAGCCTGCCACGTAGAACATTTCAATGTTCAAGCTAGTACAAACGATTGAAAAGGCAATCGAGCGTAATGCCAGAAAAAAAAAAAAAAAAAAAAAAAAAAAAAAAAAAACAGAGCGGGGGAATAGAGTGATACTAACAGGTGTTCGAATCTCGTGAGACATATTGGCCAAGAATTCAGACTTCGTTCTGTTGGCGAATTCGGCAGCCTCCCTAGCCAAGGTGTTTCTCTGAATACTGTCCCTCAAATTGTAGACCATCTGGTTGATCTTTCGTTTCAACTCATCCATCTCTCCAGATGCCTCGACAGTAATCAATTTTGTAAAGTCACCATCGGTCGCGGCGTTAGTAATATCACCAAAGGCGCGCACTTGAGTTGTCAAGTTGTTCGCCATGGTATTGACATCCGTCGTGATCTCTTTCCAACGGCCGCCAATCCCGGCAACGTCAGCTTGACCACCCATCTTACCATCCACACCCACATCTTTAGCGACTCTTTGCACTTCATTGGAGAAGATACTCAATCTGTCTACCATGTTATTTATGGTTTCCTTTAGTATGAGTATTTCACCCGCAGCAGCAACCTCAATCTTCTGACTCATGTCTCCATTGGCAATAGCTTGTGTAACCGTCGAGATACCTCGTACTTGAGTAGTCAAGTTTCTGGCCATGGTGTTCACATTTTCGGTGAGGTCTTTCCACTTTCCTTCGACGTTATCAACTTGCGCTTGCCCACCAAGGGTTCCATCAGTTCCGACCTCCCTGGCGACTTTGCTAACCTCAAAAGCGAATGTGCCAAGTCTGTCCACCATGGTGTTGATGGTATCTTTCAGCGAAGCGATTTCTCCCTGAACTTCTACTTCAATCTTCTTGGTCAAATCTCCTCTAGCGACAGCGGTGGTAACCTTTGCGATCTCTCGTACTTGTGTTGTAAGATTCATGGCCATACCGTTCACATTTTCGGTGAGGTCTCTCCAAGTGCCTTCAACATCATGCACTGTTGCTTGCCCACCCAGTCTACCTTCGGTACCGACCTCCCTAGCAATCTTCGTGACTTCTCGCGCAAATTGTTGTAATTGGTCCACCATGGAATTTATAGTCTCCTTCAACTGCTTGAT